AGGGATTTTGTCCAACTCCTCTTTGCAGATCTTCTCCAAGTCATTAAGGTTTCGAGGCTGACATTTGGCAACTCAAACCTTCAGCTCCCTCCACAGATTTTTTATGGGATTACGGTCTGGAGACTGGCTAGGCCACTCCAGGACCTTAATGTGCTTCTTTTGGGGCCACTCCTTTGTTGCCTTGGCCGTGTGTTTTGGGTCATTGTCATGCTGGAATACCCATCCATGACCCATTTTCAATGCCCTGGCTGAGGGAAGGAGGTTCTCACCCAAGATTTGACGGTACATGGCCCCGTCCATAGTCCCTTTGATGCAGTGAAGTTGTCCTGTTCCCTTAGCAGAAAAACACCCCCAAAGCATCATGTTTCCACCTCCATGTTTGACGGTGGGGATGGTGTTCTTCGGGTCATAGGCAGCAATCCTCCTCCTCCAAACACGGCGAGTTGAGTTGATGCCAAAGAGCTCGATTTTGGTCTCATCTGACCACAACACTTTCACCCAGTTCTCCTCTGAATCATTCAGATGTTCATTGGCAAACTTCAGACGGCCCTGTATATGTGCTTTCTTGAGCAGGGGAACCTTGCGGGCGCTGCAGGATTTCAGTCCTTCACGGCGTAGTGTGTTACCAATTGTTTTCTTGGTGACTATGGTCCCAGCTGCCTTGAGATCATTGACAAGATCATCCCGTGTAGTTCTGGGCTAATTCCTCACCGTTCTCATGATCATTGCAACTCCACGAGGTGAGATCTTGCATGGAGCCCCAGGCCGAGGGAGATTGACCGTTCTTTTGTGTTTCTTCCATTTGCGAATAATCGCACCAACTGTTGTCACCTTCTCACCAAGCTGCTTGGCGATGGTCTTGTCTATTTCTGATGTCCATCCGGTATGATTTCTATTTGCAATATCTTTCAATAACCTATATACGTTTTACGGACACAGTATGTTTTACATTAGTTATCTTGTTATTAGTCCCTACCTTCAGCTCCGTTGAACCCCTCCCATCTATCTCTTAACACCATCCATATTGGATTTCTATTTGCCATATATTTTAAAACTGTGCTGTGATGTTTCACAAAAGTTCTGAACCTTTCTATTCTCATTGTTTCTACAGATTGTAAATTGAAATAAACATTTTTGCTAAAAGTATTATTATATTATTGATCGATCACCCAGTAGTGCTATCTGCAGGGTTAGGTCCAGGTAAATATTGCAGTTATTCAGCCATTCCTGGACCTGTGACCAAAAACAAGCTACATATGGACAGTACCAAATCAAATGATCTAATGATTCTGTCTCTTCGCAGCAAAATCTGCAGAGCTGGGTTGTATCCCCCATATAAATAATTATATTGGTTGCAAGAATTTTGTATAATAATTTAAATTGAAAAATTCTAAGTTTTGAATCCAGCGTCATTTTGTGTATCAGTTCATAAACCATGTGTCATGGGAAGAGATTTTTTGACGTACTGATTCCAACTATTTTGTAGTCTATATGGCACAGCTGTCCATTTTTTGGTCCTTAAATGAAACTGGTATACTTACTTATTTATCAATTTTCTTTAACCAATTATCTTACAATTCCTACTGATCTGCGTGCCAGCTATGGCTTTCATATGCATACTTTCGTGAAACAGTTTCATTTAATTTATAATAACGTCTTCATATCTCAAAAGCATTGTCCTGTGGTTAATCAAAGTTCTATCCAAATGAAAATGATACAAACCTAAAAATATACTTCTATTGCCAACTATGTAAAATGCTAATAAACCAAAAATACGGCTGCAGTAGAAATTCCTGAAAAATAATATCCATAAATCAATTGGTACGCATGGCTTTGCACAAACTGAAAATGTATCAACTATTCAATTGTCGGCACCTTGCAGTAGCGAATTGCAAATTGTAAAAATATTCTGGGCTCATTTCCGTGACAGTGTCAGGACAGACATCTGTAGTTTTAAGGGATAAAAGCTGATTGGCAGAAGTCAAGAGCTGAGTACCACACCAAAGTTCCTGCTTGGCTCGTTTCTCTATAGAGTATAGCTCAAAGTATGTGACTTGCACCTAAATAAACGTACAGCGTGGCTATGGACATATATTTATTAAAAATCAGTTTTGTAGAACCTTTATACATTCAACAAGCGGGTGGTCTCAGAACGTCTTCTCTCTTCTCCCCGTCTTATAGTCCCAAACCCCCACTCAAACCCTCCCTCTTGGTTCTCCTACCATTATCTTCATTTCCTGTCAACGCTCCCCACTCCTTCGTCTATGACGGCTTAATTTGGTAATAAATTGTTTCTAAACTGATGACAATCATCCACCTTTTCTTGCAAAGCAATTGTGTGTAAACTTTTCAACCGGTCACCCGACTAAAGATTGATTGTGGACATGAGGTCCACACTCACTTCAGTAAAACCCACTCTCTCTTCCCTCCGTCATGTTTGTAATACTCTGATAGGTAAACTCTGTTAACTCGCACAGCACTTTGGAGAAGATGCATTAGGTAACAGTCTGTTCAGCTCTGATAGTTAGACGAAGCCAATTAGTAAGAGCCAGAATTCCCCTAGTCAGATCCCACTTCACACATACACCAAGCCCAGTGAAAGGAACCATTCTGTGTTCTTGCCTAGCACAGAGACGTCCGTGATTTAACTTTGTTTAGCACATAGTTCACTAAAAAATCCCCCTCATGGCGACCCGTCATTCAGGTCTGCCCCAACTGTTTAGCTAAAAAAAGATATACAGTACCAGTCAAAAGTTTGAACACACCTACTCATTGAAGGGTTTTTCTTTATTTTTACTGTTTTCTACATTGTAGAGTAATAGTGAAGACATCAAAACTATGAAATAACATATATGGAATCATGTAGTAACCAAAAAAAGTGTTAAACAAATCAAAATATATTTGAGATTCTTCAAAGTAGCCACCCTTTGCCTTGATGACAGCTTTGCACACGCTTGGCATTCTCTCAACCAGCTTCATGAGGTAGTCACCTGGAATGCATTTTAATTAACTGGTGTGCCTTGTTAAAAGTTAATTTGTGGAATTTCTTTCCTTCTTAATGCGTTTGAGCCAATCAGTTGTGTTGTGACAAGGTGGTTGTGGTATACAGAAGATATCCCTATTTGGTAAAAGACCAAGTCCATATTATGGCAAGAACAGCTCAAATAAGTAAAGAGAAATGACAGTCCATCATTACATTAAGACATGAAGGTCAGTCAATCTGGAACATTTCAAAAAACTTTAAGTTTCTTCAAGTGCAGTCACAAAAACCATCAAGCGCTATGATGAATCTGGTTCTCATGAGGACCGCCACAGGAATGGAAGACCCCAAGTTACTTCTGCTGCAGAGGATAAGTTCATTTACCAGCCTCAGAAATTGCACCCAGAGTTCAATAAATGCTTCACAGAGTTCAAGTAACAGACACATCTCAACATCAACTGTTCAGAGGAGACTGCGTGAATCAGGCCTTCATTGTCGAATTGCTGCAAAGAAACCACTACTAAAGGACACCAATAAGAAGAAGAGACTTGCTTGGGCCAAGAAACACGAGCAGTGGACATTAGACCGGTGGAAATCCTTTGGTCTGATGAGTCCAAATTTGAGATGTTTGGTTCCAACCACTGTGTCTTTGTGAGACGCAGAGTAGGTGAACGGATGATCCCACTGTGAAGCATGGAAGAGGAGGTGTGGGGTGCTTTGCTGGTGACACTGTTTTGTGATTTATTTAGAATTCAAGGCACACTTAACCAGCATGGCTACCACAACATTCTGCAGCGATACGCCATCCCATCTGGTTTGCGCTTAGTGGGACTATCATTTGTTTTTCAACAGGACAATGACCCTAAACACACCTCGGGCTGTGTAAGGGCTATTTGACCAAGTAGAGTGATGGAGTTCTGCATCAGATGACCTGGCCTCCACAATCACCCGACATCAACCCAATTGAGATGGTTAGGGATGAGTTGGACCGCAGAGTGAAGGAAAAGCAGCCAACAAGTGCTCAGCATATGTGGGAACTCCTTCAAGACTGTTGGAAAAGCATTCCAGGTGAAGCTGGTTGAGAGAATGACAAGAGTGCAAAGTTGTCATCAAGGCAAAGGGTGGCTACTTTGAAGAACCTCAAATATAAAATATATTTTGATTTGTTTAACACTACATGATTCCATGTGTTATTTCATAGTTTTCATATGTCTTCACTATTATTCTACAATGTAGAAAATAGTCAAAAAAAAAAAAAAAAAACTTGAATGAGTAGGTGTGTCCAAACTTTTGACTGGTACTGTATGTGTATGTATGTTACTGCTCAACTAAAACAATATTGGTCGAACCAACAGCCTAATGACCAAACAATCAACCAGTCGACCAATTGGGGTCAGCCCTAATTCTCTGGCAACAGCTCTGGTGGATATTCCTGCAGTCAGCATGCCAATTGTGTGCTCCCTCAAAACTTGAGACATCTGACAATGTGTTGTGTGACAAAACTGCACATTTTAGAGTGCTTTTATTGTCCCCAGGACAAGGTGCAGCTGCGTAATGATCACTGTTTAATCAGCTTCTTGATATGCCACACCTGTCAGGTGGATGGATTATCTTGGCAAAGGTGAAATGCTCACTAACAGGGATGTAAATACATTTGTGCACACAATTTGAGAGAAAAATTTTTTTGTGCGTATGGAACATTTCTGGAATCTTTCATTTCCGCTCATGAAACATGGGACCAACACTTTACATTTTTCATTTTATATTTTTGTTCAGTGTCATTTACAAAGTATACAGGACGGGACTCTTATTCTGAAGGATTCCAAAAATCTGTGACCCAGAAGTGCTTAGTTATTCTTTCCTGTTTCAGAACAGTAGCTCAGGGAGGGTCTGAATGGGAATTGAAGCAAAATAGTTGTAGATGTATTTACTTGTCATATTTATTTTTTGTCCCCTTAGGAAGAGTTCCTGATCCTGGTAACTGTTTAGCCCCAGCTGGCTGACCACTGTATCAGGGGCAATGGAGATGCCTAACCAGCCTCTGAAAACAATATTTCATAGGCTTAGTAGCGAAAAACCAAGCGGAGATAATAGGAGTTTTGGGCACTTGAGACCACTCTCTGTTTATTCCAGAATGATAACTTGTGAAAACTGTAGGGTTTGTCCTATTAGCACTAACCAGTCATGGAATTCGTCCAATCCGTTATGGAACTTGAAAATAGAGATTGTGAACAACGATGCCCCTACAAGACACAAGAGGCGCTTGGATGACTCCTGCCTTGATGACACGTATGAGACTCCATACAAAAAGACCTGTAGTCCTAAGGCCATCTCCCTAGATCTGGCTTCTGTTGTAGATTCATGTAACCCCCTTCCAGATGTAGCCACTGTCTCCCCTACTACTGACCCCCCAAAAGTGCCATCTAGTGTTGAAAATACAGTCAAAGATAAAGGTACATCAGAAGCTGTGATATGTGTGCCAAACTCTGATCATATCCAGAGTGTCCAAGCAGGAGAAGCAGGAAGTAGACAGGGTGGTGCTGCGGCTCCAGGCGGCCCAGTATCAAACGAGTCTGAGGCCTGGTCTGAGACCCTGAGCCATGAGCCTAAGAGCGTCTCAATGGACCTTGGTCCTGTTTTTGACTTTGACGTGGATGACATCATGTGCCTGAGCCCCATTGACAGCGACAGGGGGAGCGATGAGGGCATTGAAGCCTTTGTCGAGGACCGCGCCCGGAACCCCAGTGACAGCGACACCCAGCAAACTAAGCCTTTCTTAGCTTACAGTCCAACACAGGAGCAGGTTTCAGGGGAGGGATATGAGGTAGGAGAGCGGGAAGAGGGAAAAGGAGAGGAGATGGTGGTGGAAGGAGAAAGGGAAAAAGAGGGCAATGAGGAGATAAACTGTCAGGAGGAAGAGGATGGTGTGAGCGATGAGGGTTATTTCTCCAGGTCCTACCTTGAGGCACTTAGAGCAGGAAAGGACGTGTCTCAGGCTGTGACACCCTTGCAGCCACACATTTCGTCCACCCCTTTGTTTAGGGGGAGGGAGGTGATGCAGAGGCTGCAGATGGCTGTGTCAGATGAGGGGGAGCCTCCATGTCCCCCAGGTTTCCCTGATCCCAATGGGGGCCAGGCTGTGGTTTGTCAGCCGCACTACTCTTTCACTTCGGAGGATGTGTCTTATGGGTTATATGGGGCACCTCTGGTCCCAGTGGAGGGTGCAGATGAGGCCTTGGAGGGCACAGTAGGGGACGATTGGAGTATCGGAGCCCCGATACTGGAGTGCTCAGTGTGTCACATTGCCCCAGTGGAGTTCAATGCCGGTTGTGAGGGAAACGTGGTGGAGGGGGGGGAAGGTGGGCTTGTTTCAGTCCAGGAGTGCCAGGTCACACTCGTGGCCGAAGAGGTAACCGTGGAGACCAGCTACAAGAACACCTTGCCTCTCCAAGTCCAGGTAAGCGGACGGAACGCTGACACTTTTTGGTTTTCTTAATGTAGTTGTGTGATTTAAATAATAATATTTCATCATTAACAAATAGTTTTCCTGTATTTTGTGTCCATATATCCATATTTATAAATGTATTTGTTTAGCCTGCATCAACTGTTAGGATAGCTTAGATTTGGTTGTGATTGTATAGTGCTTGTGTGGATTTCTCTGGTCATATTGCTGTAAGACCTTTCTGCTGTGTCCAGGTGAGGTCAGTGGTGGTGGTTCCCAGCGTGCAACAGAATAGCAGCAGCAAACCCTCAACGTGGCCTGAGCAGAAAGGATCCGAGACCAGGTCTGTGCAGAAACCTTCTCCGGAGAAGAATGTTGTCAAGACAACAACAAGACCTGTCCAGAAACCTTCACCTGGACAGAACATTATCAAGAACACAACTGTCCTGAAACCACCAGAACAGAATGCCATCAAGGCCACACCTGTCCAGAAACCTTCACCGCAACAGAAAGTGACGAAGATAAAACCTGTCCATGCAGCTTCAACTTCGTCTGACCAGAAAGTAGTCAAGACAAGACCTGTCCAGAAAACTGCACCAAGGTACATTTCAGAGTCCTTGAAGTTTTCTAAATTTCCTCTAGAGGGAGCAATTTGCTGATTTTCCTCCCTGACTGGCCTAAAATTAAGACCCGCCAAATGCGGGCAGATTTTGGCATTGGCGGGTAAGACATCTATTTCACCAGCCACGTTGGCAGGTGGTCAGGGCTCCTCAGTGCTAGCATTTCACTTGCATTTATGAATAAAAATAGGGAAGTATGATCACATTTATAGCAAAAATAAATGTGTCAGTAGCTGTTTTCAAAGTATTTCTGCTGTTTTTGTTTCATAGTTCGTAAATTAATAGCACAAAGTCAAATAACTATTAATCCTATAGCCTATCCCACCTCGCGCAGCAACACTGCCTAGCTGGGGGCTGTGCGCACGTGAAGTGCTGAGTGAAAGATTCATTTTTAGAAGCGCTACGCACAATGAAAGTCGACTCGCGTCACCACGGTAACCTCCCGCCTGAAAGGGGCAGGTGAACATTTTTGTCTCATCTGTGATATTTTGGTAAAAAGATCTGTCACAAAATACTAAATTAAACAATATACCTCATTACTTTTTACCAGTAATACAATTATTGGTATAGAAACATTACAAAGCATGCTCATCTGTTTTTTTGTGTGTTTTGTAATTTTAGCAGCAACAAATATTTTGGCTGGTAGATTTTATAATCTACCTGCCACAGTGGCTGGTGTACCAAAAAGTTGGCTTCAGGCCCTGCTGACTGGTATTATTTCCAGAGAGACTGGTTTATTTTTGTTCTCTGAATGTAGACAGCCAGTCTGGTTATTCTCCCGCTCAACCACTTCACAAATGCATCTTTATTTAATCAATGAATTTGCATGACTTGAAGGGTCAAAGCATCAATAAAGCATTACTTATTCAATTTAGTCAGATCTGAGGTCTTGTGAGAATGGAAGGAAGCAGAATAGATTTCTTGAGCGTTTGAATAGGGTGGATGTCTTTTCCAGGCCAGTGGTCTATGACCGGGAGGAGGACTGGCAGCGTGAGAAGTGGCTCTATGTGGAGTCAGTCACCAGACACATAAGGGAGAACATTGGTGCAGAAGAAGGTAAGAGGTGCGTCTCATTATTTGGGAAGCTTGGGGCCTGGTGCTAACCTGGTGCTTCAATTGCTGAATTTAGTGAAATGTTCTTGTTTTCCTAACAAATAAGTTATTTAGCCTAATTTCTCATTCTCTTGAAGTCTATTTATCGCCCCAAAACCCTACCCCATTTCCACACCAAGTCCTTATCTTATGTTGTTGTGTATCTTCTGTGGTTGGCTGTAATGATGTGCAAGGCTGTGTGTGAAATCCCAGTCCGAGTCAGACTTAATTCATGCCAGTCCTAATAACCTTGAATCCTAACCTACCTATGAATCTTGAAGCTGCATTCAAACCTGTGCAGTGCAAAAATGACGTTTTTTTTTCTTCTCCATTAGTCCACTGTTAATACAGTCCCGAAATGTTTTACATGTCAGCAGTACATTTTTCAAGATATAGGACTTTCAAGAAGCAAAGTGACACTTATTTTTATATATATAGTACCAGTCAAAAGTTTGGACACACCTACTCATTCAAGGGTTTTTCTTTATTTTTAGTATTTTCTACATTGTAGAATAATAGTGAAGACATTAAAACTATGAAATAAGTCATATGGAATCATGTAGTAACCAAAAGTGTTAAACAAATCAAAATATGTTTTAGATTCTTCAAAGTAGCCACCCTTTGCCTTGATGACAACTTTGCACACTCTTGGCATTCTCTCAACCAGCTTCACCTGGAATGCTTTTCCAACAGTCTTGAAGGAGTTCCCACATGCTGAGCACTTGTTGGCTGCTTTTCCTTCACACTGCGGTCCAACTCATCCCAAACCATCTCAGTTGGGTTGAGGTCGGGTGATTGTGGAGGCCAGGTCATCTGATGCAGCACTCATCACTCTCCTTATTGGTCAAATAGCCCTTACACAGCCTGTAGGTGTGTTGGGTCATTGTCCTGTTGAAAACAAATGATAGTCCCGCTAAGCGCAAACCAGATGGGATGGAATATCGCTGCAGAATGCTGTGGTAGCCATGATGGGTAAGTGTGCCTTGAATTCTAAATAAATCACACAGTGTCACCAGCAATGCACCCCCACACCATCACACCTCCTCCTCCATGCTTCACGGTGGGAACCACACATGCAGAGATCATCCGTTCACCTACTCTGCGTCTCACAAAGACACGGCGGTTGGAACCAAAAATCTAAAATTTGGACTCGTCAGACCAAAGGACAGATTTCCACCAGTCTAATGTCCATTGCTTGTGTTTCTTGGCCAAAGCAAGTATCTTCTTATTGGTGTCCTTTTAGTAGTGGTTTCTTTGCAGCAATTCGACCATTAAGGCCTGATTCACACAGTCTCAACCAGAATGGTAGACCCTGAGTTACCTCTGCAGCAGAGGATATGTTCATTAGAGTTACCAGCCTCAAGTAACAGACACATCTCAACATCAGCTGTTCAGAGGAGACTGCGTGAATCAGGCCTTCATGGTCGAATTGCTGCAAAGAAACCACAACTAAAGGACACCAATAAGATGAAGAGACTGGCTTGGGCCAAGAAACACGAGCAATGGACATTAGACCAGTGGAAATTTGGCCTTTGGTCTTGAGTCCAAAGTTGAGAATTTTGGTTCCAACTGCTGTGTCTTTGTGAGAAGCGGTGTGGGTGAACGGATGATCTCTGCATGTGTATTTCCCACCGTAAAGCACGGTAGAGGAGGTGTGATGGTGTGTGGTGCTTTGCTGGTGACACTGTCTGTGATTTATTTAGAATTCAAGGCACACTTAACCAGCATGGCTACCACAGCATTCTGCAGCGATACGCCATCCCATCTGGTTTGGGCTTAGTGGGACTATCATTTGTTTTCAACAGGACAATGACCCAACACACCTCCAGGCTGTGTAAGGGCTATTTTTCAAAGAAGGAGACTGATGGAGTGCTGCATCAGATGACAAGACCTGGCCTCCACAATCCCCCGACCTCAACCCAATTTAGATGGTTTGGGATGAGTCGGACCACAGAGTGAAGGAAAAGCAGCCACCAAGTGCTCAGCATATGTGGGAACTCCTTCAAGACTGTTGGAAAAGCATACCAGGTGAAGTTGGTTGAGAGAATGCCAATAGTGTGCAAAGCTGTCATCAAGGCAAAGGGTGGCTATTTGAAGAATCTCAAATATAAAATATATTTTGATTTGTTTTTAACAATTTTTTGATTGCTACATGATTCCATATGACATTTCATAGTTTTGATGTCTTCACTATTATTCTACAATGTAGAAAATAGTAAAAAAATAAAGAAAAAACCCTTGAATGAGTAGGTGTGTCCAAACTTTTGACTGGTACTGTACATTCCTTATACATGTAAAGTAATCAATGAGTTCCAGTATGGTAACATGAATAAGTATATTACAAGCTAGAATCCAATACCTGATGTGCATTTTTTGGAAGAGAGAATCCTCTTTCTCAGCTTTCTGGGCGTGTGAGTTAGGATGTTATTTAGAGTGACCTATCCTACCTTCACAATAAGCTACTCAAATTAATGTGTACACTGCATTTTTCTAGATAAACTTCAGTGAGGCTGAATTGTTGTTGTCTGACTCCTGAAACACAGACACAAAGGTGGAGTTAATTAATACACATTTTCTGTCTGTCATGGATCAATGTATAGCCTAAATTCTATGAACTTGACAATGACATACAATGACACTAAAACATTCTGCGTGGCGAGGAAGGTGTCTGTCTGGCCATGATTTCACTTCTGTGGCCATGCAGAGCAGGGGGGGGGCTGGGATGGGTAGCCTAAGAGAAAATGGTATGTAGGCAACTACAATATTCGTTCTCACATTTGGTGCCTGTTTAATAGGACATATTGTTACTCTGCTAAACATAGAAGTGCAAAATTGGTGGATTAATTAATTTCACTAGCTACATACACCCAATCTCTCAACTTGAAGGCAAGCTAGCTAGCTAATTAAAACATAATTATGATTTGTCCTTACAACTTGAACTGTATTACTTTGCATCATTATGTATCACATTGGCCCGCAAGCACATTCCATTTGACAGCTAGGTTTATTACTGTAGAGACATCTTGCAGTTTTGGTGACAGCTTCGCGGTTTGTAACAAAATTAAAGCAATACGGTAGTGTTAGTACTGGTAGAGCAGTGATTTACTCACGGAGCTATATATGAACTTCATGTGGATTTACTTTTACCACACAGTTAGCTATGCTAGCTATAGCTAGCTAGCTAGCCAGCCAAACGTGTATAGTTAGCAAGCAACTGCTACTTGCTAGCTAGCTACACTCTTGCTCTAGCGCCAGAAACAATGAAGTGTTCCAGATGTGTTAACATTTCACCTATCCACTTCATCTACTGATCAGAATAATATAGCAATTTTTTTACTCACCTTTTCACCGGCATTAGCCGATGCAACAGTCAAAGTGCATTGCAGACCGCAGTAAGCCACAGTAGCAACAGGTTGTAAACAGGAAGTAAGGAGGCCACACATGTTGGCTCTAACAGGTTTTGTAGGTAGGTGGTTCCAAACTAACTAAAGCCAGCCCTATAACTGACACGCAAGTTAGAAAGAACTTGCACGTCATTGACATGGATTTCCACAAAGTTCCCACTTCGGATTTTCCACTTCAAGCCCAAATACAGTGCCTTCGGAAAGTATTCAGACAGCTTGACTTTTTCCATATTTTGTTACGTTAGTCTTATTCTAAAATTGATTAAATTATTTTTTTTTTTTCCTCATCAATCTACACACAATACCCCATAATGACAAAGAAAAAACAGGTTTTTAGAAATTTATGTTTAAAAAAACAAACATATCACATTTACGTAAGTATTCAGACCCTTTACTCAGTACTTTGAAGCACCTTTCGCAGCGACAGCTGCCTCAAGTCTTCTTGGGTATGACACTACAAGCTTGGCACATCTGTATTTGGGGAGTTTCTTCCATTCTTCTCTGCAGATCCTCTCAAACTCTGTCAGGTTGGATGGGGAGCGTCACTGCAGAGCCATTTTTAGGTCTCTCCAGAGATGCTCGATCGGGTTCAAGTCCGTGCTCTGGCTGGGCCACTCAAGGACATGCAGAGACTTGTCCCGAAGCCACTCCTGCATTGTCTTGGCTGTGTGCTTAGGGTCGTTGTCCTGTTGGAAGGTGAAACGTTGGCCCCAGTCTAAGGTCCTCAGCGCTCTGGAGCAGGTTTTCATCAAGGATCTCTCTGTACTTTGCTCCATTCATCTTTCCCTCGATCCTGACTAGTCTCCCAGTCCCTGCCTCAGCATGATGCTGCCACCACCATGCTTCACCTGTAGGGATGGTGCCAGGTTTCCTCCAGATGTGACGCTTGGCATTCAGGCCAAAGAGTTCAATCTTGGTTTCATCAGACCAGAGAATCTTGTTTCTCATGGTCTGCAAGTCATTAGGTGCCTTTTGGCAAACCAAGCGGGCTGTCATGTGCGTTTTACTGAGGAGTGGCTTCCGTCTGGCCACTCTACCATAAAGGCCTGATTGGTGGAGTGCTGCAGAGATGTTTGTCCTTCTGGAAGGTTCTCCTATCTCTACAGAGGAACTATAGAGCTCTGTCAGTGTCCATCAGGTTCTTGGTCACCTCCCTGACCAAGGCCTTTCTCCCCCGATTGCTCAGTTTTGCCGGGCGGCCAGCTCTCGGAAGAGTCTTGCTGGTTCCAAACTTCTTCCATTTAAGAATGATGGAGGCCACTGTGTTCTTGGGGACCTTCAATGCTGCAGACATTTTTTGGTACTCTTCCCCAGATCTGTGCCTCGACACAATCCTGTCTTGGAGCTCTACAGACAATTCCTTTCGACCTCATGTCTTGGTTTTTGCTTTGACTGGCACTGTCAACTGTGGGACCTTTTTATAGACAGTTGTGTGCCTTTCCAAATCATGTCCAATCAATTGAATTTACCACAGGTGGACTCCAATCAAGTTGTAGAAACCTCTCAAGGATGATCAATGGAAACAGGATGCACCTGAGCTCAATTTCGAGTCTCATAGCAAAGTGTCTGAATACTTATGTAAATAAGGTATTTCTGTTTTTTAGCTTTTATAAATTTGCTAACATTTCTAAAATCCTGATTTCACGTTGTCATGGGGTGTTATGGGGTATTGTGTGTAGATTGCTGAGCAAAATGTTTTATTTAATACATTTTAGAATAAGGCTGTAACGTAACAAAATGTGGAAAAAGTCAAGGGTTCTGAATACTTTCCGAAGGCACTGTATATCATATTATAACCTATTGACTTAAATTGTTGTGCAACATCATGGGTAAGCTCTGGGCATTATCTTCCAGCTGAAAAAAATCTATTTTCGCTGGTGTAGGTGTTTTAGCCATCGCCATACAGTGAGGGGAAAAAAGTATTTGATCCCCTGCTGATTTTGTACGTTTGCCCACTGACAAAGAAATGATCAGTCTATAATTTTAATGGTAGGTTTATTTGAACAGTGAGAGACAGAATAACAACAAAAAAATCCAGAAAAACGCATGTCGAAAATGTTATAAATTGATTTGCATTTTAATGAGGGAAATAAGTATTTGACCCCCTCTCAATCAGAAAGATTTCTGGCTCCCAGGTGTCTTTTTATACAGGTAACGAGCTGAGATTAGGAGCACACTCTTAAAGGGAGTGCTCCTAATCTCAGTTTGTTACCTGTATAAAAGACACCTGTCCACAGAAGCAATCAATCAATCAGATTCCAAATTCTCCACCATGGCCAAGACCAAAGAGCTCTCCAAGGATGTCAGGGACAAGATTGTAGACCTACACAAGGCTAGAATGGGCTACAAGACCATCGCCAAGCAGCTTGGTGAGAAGGTGACAACAGTTGGTGCGATTATTCACAAATAGAAGAAACACAAAAGAACTGTCAATCTCCCTCGGCCTGGGGCTCCATGCAAGATCTCACCTCGTGGAGTTGCGATGATCATGAGAACGGTGAGGAATCAGCCCAGAACTACACGGGAGGATCTTGTCAATGATCTCAAGGCAGCTGGGACCATAGTCACCAAGAAAACAATTGGTAACACACTACTCCGTGAAGGACTGAAATCCTGCAGCGCCCACAAGGTCCCCCTGCTCAAGAAAGCACATATACATGCCCGTCTGAAGTTTGCCAATGAACATCTGAATGATTCAGAGGAGAACTGGGTGAAAGTGTTGTGGTCAGATGAGACCAAAATTGAGCTCTTTGGCATCAACTCAACTCGCCATGTTTGGAGGAGGAGGAATGCTACCTATGGCCCTAAGAACACCATCCCCACCGTCAAACATGGAGGTGGAAACATTATGCTTTGGGGGTGTTTTTCTGCTAAGGGGACAGGACAACTTCACCGCATCAAAGGGACAATGTGCGGGGCCATGTACCTTCAAATCTTGGGTGAGAACCTCCTTCCCTCAGCCAGGGCATTGAAAATGGGTCGTGGATGGGTATTCCAGCATGACAATGACCCAAAACACACGGCCAAGGCAACAAAGGAGTGGCTCAAGAAGAAGCACATTAAGGTCCTGGAGTGGCCTAGCCAGTCTCCAGACCTTAATCCCATAGAAAATCTGTGGAGGGAGCTGATGGTTCGAGTTGCCAAACGTCAGCCTCGAAACCATAATGACTTGGAGAATATCTGCAAAGAGGAGTGGGACAAAATCCCTCCTGAGATGTGTGCAAACCTGGTGGCCAACTACAAGAAACGTCTGACCTCTGTGATTGCCAACAAGGGTTTTGCCACCAAGTACTAAGTCATGTTTTGCAGAGGGGTCAAATACTTATTTCCCTCATTAAAATGCAAATCAATTTATAAATTTTTTGACATGGGTTTTTCTGGATTTTTTTGTTGTTATTCTGTCTCTCACTGTTGAAGTAAACCTACCATTAAAATTATAGACTGATCATTTCTTTGTCAGTGGGCAAATGTACAAGATCAGCAGGGGATCAAATACTTTTTTCCCTCACTGTATACCACACGTAACACAACGTAAGAGCTGTCGGGGCTAGGAGAATCACCTTCAATAGGAAGTTGTCTTGGATTTCCGTTTTTCAGCAAGCTATGACATTACATTGTTCTATATAAGTGAGTTTCACGTGTTACAGCAGACTTGTAGTTTCAGATGTATGATTTTTTCTAAATTGATAGTTTTACTTTTTTACTGCAGAAATACAATTATTAGGAGTTGCTCACTGACTGGTTAGGTTTTTTCTTAATTGTCTATTTTGTGGTAATAATGGTAATTTAGTAGACACTTTTATCTGAAGCCACTTGTTCTAGATATCTGAATGACGCTCGTAATGACCCTCAAATGGCATGATAGTTCCCTGATTTTTTGTGCCATTGATGTATATTCTTGCTGTCCTGTATCCTCTTCTTCTTCATAGTACTTGTTCAGCTTGGGGGGTGTGTGTGTGTGTGTGTTACCTGTATGGGTTTGTCTCCAGGGGTGATGACTGAGCTGCTGAAACTGATGAACCATGTTGCCGACCAGGTACCAGGCACCAACGGAAGGCAGTGGCAGCACCCCTCGGATCTCACCCGCAGGTACAGGCATCTCCATGTGTGTTTATCTACTGCTGCCCTCTGTAGTGGACATTTCAGTCTTAATTGGAGAATTCAGTTAGTTTTTTTTTCTCTCCAATTTTTGTTTATCAGAAATTACCAAAGACGGTTTGGAAATGACTCAGTGAAATACACTCTGGACCAATGGCAGAACCAGAACTACAGGAACCACCGCCGCTTTGCCAAGGTCCCACAGATCTTTGAGAGAAGTCAAGTTCTTTAAACCCAAGCAACAAAGCATCTTACCAGAGGAACGTATAGGGCAGTACACTTTTAAATTTGGCAAATGACATCACTCAGGTCATTAGGTGTCTGAGATTTGAGCTCTTATATTGTAAGCCTGGAACAACGGTTAACTCTTGAATTAATCCTAAACTTCTGCTCATCTTTTAACAATGTTTTGAACTTATTGTTTTTTGTTTGTGTGAAATTCATTAATTTGTCCTCGCTAAAGATTGTATATGCTTATTGCTAAAGTGTCTTGAAGCCCAGAGATTTGTTTGTTTTTCAATTTGCTCTGTCTGATACAATAATATTGTGGATTTTGTGTTATTATTCAATTTTTTTGTTATACTTGAATTTAAATTATGTTCCTTTCAGTTTACCATCCAGTATAAACATAACATTGATGACAGAAAAGGAAAATAAATAACATAACAGCCAGTCGTTTTGCTTGCCTTTTAGGAAGTTGCATATGTGGAGGTCTCTGATCACCATTTCCTAATTTAATGGGTCCATTGCTGCACTTATTCCTTTTTGTACCGTCGCTCTTAGTTTGTGCTAGGCACCTTGTTTGCACAGTCTTCTTTTTTCTTTTTTTATAGATGTTTTAGAAAAACTGCTTTTTGAATGCTGTGCACATTTCCCTGCCTAAGTACTTATTTGTGCAGTTTAATTTCTTTCCTAATGCATTTTGCATTCTTACTGTTGAAGTACAAACAAATCATCCAACACTTTGTTGTTAGTACTTTGTTCTGATTAGCCCCTTGGTTCAGTTGGAACAGTTTGAAGGGACAATCAAATCATTACTGATCTACCCCATTTCTAAAGTGTGATGCCATATGTATAGTTCCATATGCTCTTCACTTGCTGCCTTTGATGGCCTGTCATTTGTTTATTAGCATATGCCTGAGTATTTGAGGTCATGTTATGGTTGATTTGAAGTTTTTGTTCCTTCTTTGTTAGACAAGAAATCTAACTGAAGTAAGGGAGTTAGAGTTTGTCAGATGGATTAGGTCAACTCTTAAAATTCTCTACTTTATAATCTATGTTCTGTGCAGCGAAGCGATTGGGATTGGCCCTGTATTGATGCTTGTGTTGGAGAGACATCTGTAAACATAATCTAGTGTGGGAATTGAGTGAGAAACCCGATTTGTAGGGTTCTGTTATGTGTGGGCTATTGATTTTCTGTGACATTGTGAATCTCTCCACATTTTTCGCACAGGTTGCTGATTCCACATTAAAAGCAGTTGCCTGAAACTCTGTTGAGTGAATTTTTTACAAGGATGAATGTCTAGCCCAGTCAGAATACCATATGAGTGCAGTCAGTGACTGAGGAGATATTGCATGTGGCTCACTGGTGCTAATAGAATAGATAGGTTTCATTTATAATAAAAAAAAAAATGGAGCACTTTGGCAGTTTACAATAAAGACAACGGAATTGCAGTGCAGCCTACCTATGACCATTTGAATATGAACTACCTCGCTTACTAATTTACTTTATCTTTTAGATTCTCATAATCATAATACGCTATTCAACCTCTGATTTAAGCTTATTGCTAACGGCTTTAAATAGCATATGATTTAATTACCTACTGTATATGTGGATATGAATACTAAGCTCAAGTTCATCCCTCTCAATTACCATTGTTGGAATCGTGAAAGAAATATATTTGACATGGTCTATTGGTACTGTAGTATTTAGACTCCAACTGTGAGAAAAGGAGCAAACTAAAAAATAACAATTATTGAACTTTTTATTTATTTATTAACCGTACACAAGTAAGCATACACCATATTCCGCATTTTAGAAATTGTGTAACCTTGTGCATAATCGTAGAACCATGCTATCCCTCATTAAAGGGAAACTGCCCTTTCTGATTTGGCCTTGTTTTAGATTTGATTAATTAAGAAATGCTAGCGGCCGTGACTGAATTCAAACGTGAGTTGGTTTCTGGGTGCGGTTTGATGTGGGTGTCTCGTGTGTTCGCAGGTGGGAAGAGTTAGACAAATTATTTAGCCAATTAGCTTCAACTGGCTGGTGTGCAACTGTGGCAAAATTGGTTTGACTTTGGATAACCTATTTCCGGGGCTAGTGAGAGACCGTCAATTAATTACACAATGTAAATTATACAATATTTTAATGTTGCACACCTTTTTAGTTTTCTCAAATGCTTTCAATATTTGTATATAAATGTATACAATTTATAGTTGGTTTGAGTAATTTACATTTGGAGCTATTGTAATTTTAACATTGTTCCATGTACATTGTGTAATTTACTGATGGTCCCTAACTATCCCCATAGCTATATCCCAAGTCAACCCAAATTTACCACGGACAATACGATTGGGTTGCATGCAGCTGCACTCCGAATTGATGATTAATTGTGTGCTGCCAGCTGTGGGCATGTGGGCAGGATTGAAACAAACCCAACCTTCATTTACGTTGTGATGCAGTCACGACCTCAAGTCTCACAAAACTCTGTTTTGGACGAGACTGACTTTATGACCAAAATTGTCTTATTTACACTTTAGTCAATTTTGACAGTAGAATAAATGTTTTTTTATCGATGCATCATAGGCTGTTTTCTAAAGGAGAAGTTGTTTTTTTAGGGGCAGTTGCTCTTTAATCAATGACTTGTATACATTAAACATGGAATATATATATGATGGCATTCATAAAGCATTTCATATTTTCTTAACCATGCTTCTTTGTACATGCATTTGCTTTATTACAAAACAAAGAACCAAAGTAAAACTAAATGGACTGAAAAAAACTACCATTTAGTATAACATTGTTTTTCTCTTTTTCGTTGCCTGATATTATCATTAGAGTAAACCTCATAAGTTCCAATCCCCTGCTTTTCGTCCTATGAGGAGAACAAATCAACCTTCCCAAGCAAGCAAACATCATTATTCAGCATTCTAAAAAGTGTGGGTTCCCACTACATGGCCTAAGTGGAATGTTATGTTCTTACAGTATAAAGAAAAAGCAAGTTTCCCCCTCAGTAGTTCTAGCTGGGCTCTATTAGGCCCATCTGATACTGATCTTTTCACATCAGATTTTTTTCAGAGCTGATCTGATTGGTCAAAAGACCAATTAGTGAAAAAAATATCAGTATTGGGCTGCCTGGGTATGGAAATCTCTGACAGTAGTTATTTACAACTTTAAAGAGCCTCTATCTCCCAAGGGACTTTGATCCAAAGAAACCAATTCAGATATGGCAAGGTTACAGAGAACTGTTGGCCATAGAAATATAATTATATGGAATGCTGTTGGCCTCCTTGCATGGATGACTGATCAATCCTACTGTATCCCTCCTATGACATGAGGGCATGTTGAGACTCGAGACGGAGAGCCAAGTGTCAGGCTAAGCTCCTCCACAAAGCCCCCCTCCTGTCTGTGACAGTAAAAGGCTGTTAGCTTTTGATGTGTCTAGGACACAGCCTCTGATGTTTATTAAAATAACACAGCAACAGTCATGTTTACAGCCAGCCTCCGACTGCAGGGAGCTGCTCTTAGCTAGTCAAGCAGATGATAATGCATCAATGCAGAACTGCAACCGTAGGCTCTTCAAAGCATGGTTGGACCACAACAAAACAACTTGCTTTACAGTACATTAGCCCTAAATGCATTAATATCATTGAAACCGGAAAAAAAAAAGTCTTTATATTGGCAACATAGGGTAAATGGTCTGCCATAATGAAAAGTTATGGTACGCTTAATTGAAAAACTTTAAGCAATTTTTAATAAGACTTTAGCACTGTATTGATTATGTTTGGCCCTGAATATGAATCTCAGCGTAACAGAAAGTTTAGAGTTGCCCAATCTAATGTGGACAGTAAAATGCAAATTTTAAGAACTGCAAGGAGGTAGGTGAATGAGAAATAAGCAATGCTTGGGTTCCATTGAGAGATTTGGTGCTGGCACACTGCAGACAGACAAGGCCCCAGTTCAAAGAAATCATCCAGGGAGATGATCATCATTATCCGTTACTGAGTTAACGGATGCCTATCGATTGCAATGAGCTACCAGTTCTGGCAATCTTAAGGACAGCTGGTTTCAACCTTCAGCACAGAAACTTTTGTGAGAAGTGCTGATGGGGTAATGTAGCAGAACAAGGTTTGGAGACCTCGCCAGCAAGTTTGTCCTCCGAACATCAATATGTCTGTATTAATCAATCAGGTGGGCCTTCTACTTTATCCCTCCCTCCCTCCCTCCCTCATTTTTTTTCTCTTTCCTCCATCTCTGCTTAAAGCCTGCTCTTGTCCCTGGCACGAATCACTGCTTATTGGAGAAATGGAAGCCGAGTTCTACTACCCTTTCTCATTAACCTCTTAAGGATCTGACCCTTTTTTTCCAATTTCCGCCTAAAATGACATACCCAAATCTAACTGCCTGTAGCTCAGGACCTGAAGCAAGGATATGCATATTCTTGATACCATATGAAAGGAAACACTTTGAAGTTTGTGGAAATGTGAAATTAATGTAGGAGAATATAACACAATAGATCTGGTAAAAAATAATACAAACAAAAAAGCATGCGTTTTCTATTTATTTTTTGTTCCATTATCTTTGAAATGCAAGAGAAAGTCCACAATATAATATTGCAATTTAGGCAATTAGCTTATACAACCTAACTTTTCACACATCTAGAATGCCGGGCGGGGTGGGTGGTGGAGCCAGAGACAGCAGGTGTTTCAAACTGTATAACCAGTTCCTACATTTTGACTATAAGAATTGATTTTATCAAACCAACTAATGCTACATTTTATCTCTGGGACTTGGGATGACAAATCAAGCAATATTAACTGAATGCAAGTACATTATTTACCTTCAGAGGTGAATGTTTCTTAACCAGTTGCCGTGATAAGTATCTTGATGTTGGGCCCTCCTCCTCTCCTCAAACAATAGCATGGTATTTTTTCACAGTACTAGCTACTGTACATTGGAGACAGTGCAGTTAGTAATTAACAATAATTTAAGAGACTGGTACAGGTGGA